AAAAAAATCTCTTCATCATTATTATTCAATGTTTACACTTACTTGTGTGAGATAAAAAACTTGTATTTGTAATATCAATGAATGTAAATGAAGAAACTATCTGCCTTGTATACTCAACGATGTTGTGTATTTTTGTTGTTGTTATTCAAATATCGATGATGGGAGAATAAATTTACGAATAAGCATATTTTTTAGCTGGTTGCTTTAACTTTGTCCTTGTATTATTTTTAGTCAAGAAAAAACAATACCATTCATTTTCTAACTTGACATAAGCACTGAAGTGTGACATTATATGTTAGTAATACCCGTAATTACAAGTGTATGTAATTCAGCACGCACACAAATTCTTTTAAGATTTTGAATGTATAAAATAAACTAATGAATTGAACAATATAAGATGCATTTATTTTAGAATTAAAAGAAAATTTTTATTTTTCCATGAATTTCTACATTTAGCTACGAGAAATTAGTTTATTATACAAAACTATGGCAAATCTAGAACATTATCATTCATTTTATAGTTTTTTCAATATTTTGACTTTTTCTCAATAGTATTACTTTGTTCTCATCAATCATAATGAGTTTATTTATTAACAAGTTAGTTTGATCTATATGTATTCAAATATTGTAAGAGGTTATTTAAATATTTTTATTCAATGTGTATTCGTATTTCATTTCAAGTCTAATATTTTTGTATCATTTAATACAAATACTTTAGATTCAAATCGTTCCGTTTTATATAAGAAACTGTTTATTCTTTCTAAAACTAGTTTTGAATCACTACATAAATTCTTTTAACTTAAAGCTGTTTCGTTAAATATGTCATATGAAATAAATTATTAAAGAAGTGGATATTTGAAAGATAAAATTATATAGAATAGTAAAAAAGTGCATAAAAATATTTTTCATAGAAAAAGTCTTTAAAAGTAAAATGAGAAGGCAACACATATTCTTCGTATTCAATATTTGCGTTTTATAACGTATTCATCTCATTCTACATTAGATTTATATTTGCCGAACAATTTTCATTTTATGTAATTCGCTTCGTGGAATACATGTGTTAAAATATGATCAAATACGAATTCTACATAGCGCTTCATTTAACGATCAAAATCAATTATTTGCATCAATTCACACGTACTCTTGTTGGAATACTATAAAAAATTGGAATTCTGTTGTTACACTAGAATTTCACTTGAGTCCTGCTGGAGAAAATAAAGCTCTCAATAGAAAACTATTGTTGATAAGATGATGTACGAAAGATTATTATTCCAAGAAGAATAATGTGATTCTTCGATTCTGTCAAAAGATTCGTTGATTCTGGCTAACATAATCTTGATCTCAATTTCGTTGGAGTCTAAACAAAATTTTATCAGATTTCAGAGAATTCTACGGAATAACTTTGGCTACGAATTATGAAGAAAGACAACTACATCACAAATATTTATACTATATGTGTTTGAGAGTTCCAATAACAATCGATAAACACATATTCTCATCAAATAAAGCACATCTACACACTCAAATATGATTTCGATGTTTTAAAACAGGTTTAGACTAGTTAATGTCCATTTCAGAATTAAATGAACGTGCGCATTTTTCGAATAATTTTGACACAACAAAAGGAAAATAACACGAATTTTTTAACAATATCAAGAGTATCCATTAATGCATATTTTTACAAAAGTCGACGAAGAGTTCCAGTTACTTTTCTTCTTGAATGCAACATTGAATCTTCTCTATCGATTAGGTCATGGACGAGATCGATAGTTATTTCTCTTGAAAAGATATCAAGGTTTTACTGAATGTAATTCATCAAAATTTTTCAAAATCTAAACAGTTAACAAACTTTTGTAGTATAATATTCTTGCTAAAAATGTCATCAAAATCTATGAATTCATTTTATTTTATGACGGTCGGTCATTATTTTTTCCTTTGATTCAATGAATAAATCGTCTGTGATTTAACAATAGATAAGGGAACAGTTTCACTTAATATAATTCTATTTCAAAAGTGTTACAACCAAATGACAGTTGGGTGACTTGATAATCACGATGTTTACCAATGAGACATTACATAATGACTCCTATTGAATCAGGCACACCAAGATAAAAATCTGTGTTCATGATAGAAAGATGGAGTTTGCTTTGATTGAAGTAAGCAAACTAGCACAAGACTATATATATAACTAGAATGTGATGGAAGCAACTAGATGTATCAATCATGTCAAACAATATGAGGCAAAATTTATAATAGCAGACACTTGTCTCGAAAAGATTGAAGAAGAACCTTATGATTACGATGATGGTAATTATTGTAGTTATAGTATATGTTGATGCTAGTAACTTTATATGATTAGTCTGCGTTGATATCTTCGAATCTCTTTTTCATAGACCGATTCGAAGCCATAATATTTTTGAGATAAAACCATCAATAAAATAAAAATTTGGGAGTTTTCGGGAATATCGATTCATTGTTATAACACAAAGTGAACTCATGAATTCTGATAACATTCTCAGTAAGAAAATAGGCTAAAAAAGTTAGTGAATTGTGTCATCAAGTGGAAGATAACTAAGATATTTATATAAGAAGGTATTTGTTAACTGTTTAAAATTTTGAAATATTTTGATGAATAGCATTCAGTAAAATTTTGAGATCTTCTCAAGGATAATCAGTATCGAACTCGGCCTTGCGTTGATCGATAGAGAAGATTGAATATTGCATCCAAGGAAGAAAGCAACGGTATTTTCCTTGGGACTTTATATGAATTTGTATTGATTGCTATTCAAGATAGTACTAAAAAATCTGAATTAGTTTTCTTTCAAGTGTCCAAAAATTATTCAAGAATACAGATGTTCGTTTAAGTCTGGAATGGATATTAGTGATAAGAAGAAAAAAAGCTTGATTAAAAGCTTTTTTATCGATGGTCTTATCAGGATTAGTTGATAAAATTGAATAAATCATGCGAAGAAAAATAACTAATAAGACTATTGATGTCGTCAATAGGAGATAAAGTATTAATTTTTCTCAAGTTTTTTTTTTTGTAAAAAGATCAGTTATTGGATAACGAATCGGAAAACGATGTTAGTTCTGCTTCTTTTTAAAAATGACATATTATTCAAAATCTACATTTCATAATAGTAAATCTTCAATAACATATATAATATTCATTTTAGTTTGATACAAAGAAGTTTGTTAATAAATATAAATATGATTTATTTTAATTTGAAAAACTTTTTCGCAGTATAGACAATGACTTCAGATATGTTCGCATTTAATTTATCATTAATAATAAAATAATTTATAAAATTTTTTTTTTTTAGTACTTGTACTATTCTACAATATGTGTGATTAATAAAAGAAAGTAAAAAGAAATGAGTGCATTATTTATTCGAAGAATTTGAAAGTTAAACATGCATTTCCTTATGTCAATGTTGTGATGCGTCTAGGCATAGACGCTTCCTGTTTTTAATTTTACAAGGTATACAATATTAATTCTGTAGAGGATAAACATCATTGAATATTAGTTACGTTCAAATTAGATATAAAAAAGAAAGAATAGAAATTTTGATTACAAAAGCGAGCAATCAATCGATTGAATGTTTATTGTGTTAACCTTTTCTTTCTATCCTTCTCTTCTTCAAACTGCCGGTTAGCTTTACCTTATTTTCGATTAACTTCCTTTCTTTTTCTTGTAACTAGATTAGTTCCGTTTTTCTCTTCTCTTATCGTCTGTCGATCCACACCTATGTATTGTTTCTCAAGAGACGACGACGACAACAACAATAACGAAGCGTTTTTCTTTTTCTCTCTAATCGAACCTTACTTTAATTTGTTGAGTAATCACTTTACTACTCTTAGCTTTGTCGTTTGCTCTGTCATGAATAAATGACGGAAGGGTGTAGAGAGGTGCTGCATATTGGAAGAGAATACCCAGTGACATTTTTTTTCTCTCTACTAAATCGGCTATAAACTTTTTCTTAGAGTTTTTTTTTCACATCATAACGACAACTGATTTTTTTAATAGTTCATGCATGTTATGTCCCAATGGGAGTGAAAAAAAAATGCGGTGACGTTGGCAATGAAAGTAAAACGTTCAGAAATTGATCGGTGGCTAAATATGCGTATACATGTGATATTATTACGCACTATTATTACAGTCTATTATTGATCGTTAGTTTATATTCGGAATGTATGTTGATGGTATTGATTGGGCTCAATATAAAATTTGTGTTGTTTTACTTGCCCGGATCATTATTATCCTTGGTATGATTGGTTTACTTATTTTTGTTTTTCAATCAACATAGGCAATCATTAAAATAATAATCAAAATTTTAGATAGTGTCAAGTCAAGTAATTCATCGAGTGATCAACAAATGTGTACAAAGGTATATATCGTTGAAATAAATTCATTCGAACTCCTCTATTTCTTAGAATCTCGTAACTCTTTTTTTTTCTCAAGACTTGTATTAAAAATTTGATAAATGAGTAAAATCTTACGTAATACTTTATTTTAAGAAATAATCAGAAGATTTATCACAAAAAAAAGTGCTCTATTCTATAACCATAGCATGTGAAAATTTACTCTCGAGGCAATGAATGTCAGAAATCAATTACATTATCTATATGATTGACATGACGAACACAAAAACAAAAAAACATAAATTATAGCCTTGAATTGTAATTCAAAAATACAAACTTGACAGAAAATGTCAACTCAATAAAAATATTACTTGTGGATTTTAGATTATTTTTTTAACTTAATAATGAAAAAGAAATCTCAATTTATTTTTTAAAGATCTATTAATCATATAAATTTTATATTTATATGTTGCGTACTATCGAGAATTAAAAGGATTCAAGAGAATTTTATTTTAACTAATAAATCCTTAGAGCATCTCTTAATATCTCAGATGTTCTGTTACTAATTACAACTATAAAATAATCACTATTTCATGTTTCCTAGTTTTTTTTTTTGAAAATCATGCAGTATATAGGTCTTTGTAACCCGTTATTAATCACATTAATAACATTAAAGAGAAATTTCTTTTTTCTTTCAATATAAACTTCTAAATGAGCTCGAATAAGTATAAGCCATCAAAAATATTGCGTTTTCTTCTTCTGATTGGTCCATATTTAGTATTATTATGAAATAAATGTTCTGAGTATGATTTACTAACTATTTCATGGCATGTTTGAGTGTATAAAAAATTTTATTATTTGAAAAATAAGACAAGACTAATTACATTGTCTATGACTGGATGGCATGATAAATTTTCGTTGGATGAAATATTTTTTATATAAATCTAAACTATCATTTTCTTATTTATTTTTTAAAATATAATATTATGTATGTGTGAATTTATTTTTATTTGAAGACAATCTGATATTAAATTTTAATCAGTATATTTAAAAAATGTGCCCCTATAGATAATAATGCGTGATTGAAAAGTAATTTGAGAAAATGTTCAATCATTTTTCAGTTTCTTAAAGAAGTCTGTAGAAATTTGAAAACTTTGATTTATAATCAGAATTTTATGTTCTTTCCGAATATAAGTTCATCATTTTTGTAGAACTTTTGGTTTATGAGTTATGAAAAGATTTCAGCGTGATCATTTATGAAAGAATAATTCAGGTTGTCTTTTGTACATAGAATTTTCTCCTTTTCAAAATGATATATAAAACTCGAAGATATACGGATATACGAAATAGAAAATAGCAACATGTTGATCGTAACTATGATTGATTGATTACGAAGAATGTACAGCATATTTCTCTATATCATAGATCACTCTATTCTCGATTTTCAGACATACTTTCGAAGAAGAAAAAATTCTGAATATGAAGAGAAAATTAGTTTTTCACATCCCACACGAGACCTATTATCGAACAATCTTTTTTTTCTGATCACGCCCAAATCTAGTTATGAATCGATCTTTTAGAGGTGTGAAAATTAATTTTGAACATAAAAAATTGATGATCTTTTCTGCATAGAATTAAAGATAAAGCTGTTTTGTATAGTGTGACATAAGGATCAACAGTTTCAGAGCAATCATTCAGGAATGGTCGAGCTCACTTTACAAATCAGTTTTTCTTCGGAATCAAGATACTTGCCTGAATTGACATAGAAATTCTTTACCAAACCATCCACTGTTAGCAAATCATTTGGAGCAAACCAATCATTGATATAACATTTTATAAAGAAATGTTTGTTCTTTCATTCGTTGTATTCTGAAATAATTTTTGATTCTGCTTAGAATAAGTTTCAGTGCGCTAAATTTTGTTCAAATTTAATTTACGAAACTCTAAAAAATTAGTTCATAATTCTTAAACAAGAAGGTCTAAACCGCCCCCTACAATAAAAGACCCCGGGTCTTCTATTATGGTCCAGCGAGCTTTTGTAAATTTTGTAAATTTTGGCTGGTGAAAAAAAGAAATTTCTATGAAGTGACTCCTCCGGAGGGGTCTTCTAATATTGGGGGGGGGGGGGGGGGGACAAAATTTTGAACTCATAATTGGAAAGAATGCAAAATTCTGCAAACTCATTTATCAGGTTAAATGAATTTTACTCAAAAACATATTATTTCTTCCATATTGAAAACTATTCATCAATTTACATTATTAAATTAACCTATTTTGATATGGTAATTATTCTATAGCTTCAATCAATGCTTTCTTTTGGTAAATATCAAACATCTCAAATATCATCAAATATATCATATGTAAAACGTATTAATGTTCAAACTTTTCTTGCTTATTCATCTATTGATGATTTATTAATATTTATTGAACCAAAACATCAAATACATGTTTATAATGGTCGTACAATTCAACATATTGTTAATTTAAGTACAACAGATCTTGTTATAGCAACATCATGTGCATCATTATTGTCGAATTCTCATCATGAATTATGGTTTATATATGAAACAACTTCGAATACAAATTTAATCTCTTTACGTGTATGTCAAGTACTTTTTAATAGATCTAAATTAGCTTTTGAAGATAATCTATGTATTGAAACAATAACATTTCAAAATGATCAACCAGATTTACTTGTTAACGGTTTTACAATAAAACGTGATCATGCTGGAACTAAAAAATCTCTTCTATTTATATCAACAGGTGTTGGTATTATTTACGCAATATTTGATACACATACAGGTTTATTATTTGGTCAACCAACGATTATGAATGAAACATTAAGTGACGGTAGTATTGTTTTATCATCATCTGGTTCAATTTATTATGCTAGTAAAGAAGAACATTTAATATACGAATTAAAAATAGGACGTGATTTTCGTTTATATTATGGAAAAATAATTAAAGCTAATGCAATTAAATACCCATTTGGTTTAATTACAGATGAATGTAATCATTTGTAAGTTCGATTCAATTTATTTTATCTTAGTTTTGAAGAGTAGGGTCCCATAAGGATCAATTTAGGTCCATTAGTATTTTTTGCACGGCGTAACATAAGAATTATTAAATTTTGTAGTGCTTGACCTGAGAAATCTAACCATGTATAAGTGGAGTCGTGAAGTCTTACAGCATCATACGATCTCTTCGTATTGTGAACTGAAAAGATAGATGCTTTTATTGAGTTGGAGTCACAAGTTCTGGTATGATCAAGGGTAGAATAGACCAAGCGACTGATCTGCGTTTTGGTACCAAAGCATCAAATGAATGGTCTTTCATTGAGCTGAGAATGAGTCAACAAGAATGTTTGAGCAATCCTAATCGATGGACTTACAGCCATCAGTCGACCTTGAGGATGCTATATCTCAGAAAAATAAACATATGACCAAAATCTTGGTACTAGTGAAGTACATGATGAATTACAAGAAGATGTATACTTTGTGCAGAAAAATGCATGACCATATACCTGATGTTGAGGCTCTTTTGTTCTGAAAAGTAAAAGTTGTCAGTTTTTCGGTAATATTTGCTGGTATTACTCAGACTCGCTACTCTTTTAGTCAAAAGAAATAACATATTTAGAATGAACATCAACAACAGAGTTGATTTATATGTGTTTAAAATTCTTCAAACAATGTTTATTTTCGTCAAAAAGTTTGTTGTAGGTTCCTATCAGAATTCAGCTAAAAAATGAAGACAATTATAAGGCTATTGTTAACGCGTAGTGATCTGCATTTTTGTGCTCTACTATTGTATTATAAGATTAGAACTTCTTATCAATTGTCTGCATGAGATTTTGATTGACTTATTTTTTTCGACTAGACACTGTTGTTCGTTTCAAAATAAAAGGCACCTCACTATTTTTTCGAATAACTTTTGATAGAAACAAGATAGAGAGCTGCAGTTTTCATCATTCGAAAGAGCAATGTCCGGGCCGTCGATCGGTATAAAACTCATTAAGACAAAACTTGCTTTTTTTTATAGGTGCTTTTGGATCAACATTTTTTCCTTTAAATATTTTGATCAATTTTGATAATAATCTCAACTCAAATTATGTCAAGATGTAGCTCAAATGATCCTTTTTTTCGGTATAAAATTAGCATTTGTTTTTCAAAAACCGTTTAGAATAGGAGGTTGAGAGATACTAAAATATGTGATCATTTTATGGCGAAAAAAGAATGATTTGAGCTACATTTTGACATAATTTGAGTTGAGATTATTATCAAAATTGATCAAAATATTTAAAGGAAAAAATGTTGATCCAAAAGCACCTATAAAAAAAAAAGGAAGTTTCGTCTTAATGAGTTTTATACTAATCGATGGCCCGAACATTGCTCTTTCGAATGATGAAAACCGCAGCTCTCTATCTTGTTTCTATCAAAAGTTATTCGAAAGATAGTGAGGTGCTATTTATTTTGAAAGGAACAGTAGTTAGTGGTCATCCAAAATATGTTATTTTTTTCTGTGATATTAGGGACTCAAAAAAGACCATTTCGCTTATATTTCGGCGTCAAAATGTAGATCAAATCATGCTATAATGATCACTCTATGAGTGAGCTTAGTTGTTTGTGACTTCAACTCAAAAGAAGCGTCATTCTTCTTACCATACAACACGAAGAACCTGTATGATAATGATCAATCTTGTAGGAGGCAGAAGCACTCCTAATTTGAGACTTCGTGGTAACGTTCGTATATGGTTATATTCGGCAGCTCAAACATTAGAAAATTAGTAGACCTAAACTGGACATAATGCCCTTACCCTCCAACATTTGACTGTTTCTTTTTTAATAGATACATTACTACACGTTCCATGATATTAATCATGTTTGTTCGAACATATTCAACAATACGAAGTGTATTTTCTAAAGCATCAGACTTACCTATAATACTTGAACGACTTAATGCAACTACTTATGTTTATGCGACGTTGAAAAAGAATGCAAAAAATATACCATCTTATTGGATGTTTAATTTTCTTTATTTTACTGGTAATTCGATAAGATTTTGTATTTTTTTCTTCAAAATAAATGAATTTTTCTTTTTTTAGAACCAGAAAAAGTTTATCCCTCTACTCGACATCCTGGTAGGAAAAACAAATTATATTTATCTGCTTTGCTTTTGTTATTGTGAATCACAAATACCGTGCTTTTACTATCACTATCCTTCCCTTATTATCTATAGTTGTCAATTGGGAAGAAAATTTGGATTTCAATTATACTATAACTGATAATACCAGTGTGCCGATACTTTGGCCAATATCATATTCGTTGTTATCGGCAACAAATACAACAAAAATATATATACAATTTTTTTCTACATCAAGGAAACCTTTTGCTCGATTCACGACAACAATGCCTTATTACGAACAAAAAGCCAATTCTATTGATCAAGAAATCTCAGCAACTAATGAAAAAAAATTATTTACAGGCGATTCCTCAACTGTACCATATATTCCTCTTTTATCAGATGAAACACAATCAAGTAATACTGATGAGAATTATCAATTTATTGAAAACATTTCATTCGATTCTCAAGAACGAGAAAATCGATCATTAGAAACAACATCGGAATCTGGAATTCCATCAATTGTCGAAACATCATCTAATCCGCAAACACTTCCCACCAGTACATCTGAATCAGTCATATCGAACGATGATTTACGACCTACAATTGACGAAGGAGAAAACCTATCACTAAATCAAATTACTCAATCTCAAGATTATGAATCGAAGAAGACACCGTCTTATTCAAAACATTTTAATCGTACAACGCACACGGAAGAAATACTTTTCTCGGACGATAACTTACGATCTTTCTTAGACGGTCGAACTAATTTCTCAGAGAGTCAAAAAACACTGATTGAGACCTATTTAAGAAGACAATCATCAACAAATCGAAGTATCTCTTCGAAATATTTAACGAGCACACAACTACCATCAAGGAAATATACAACTCATGTCAACTTATATCCAGACTACCAAAGCGAAAATAACCAGTTACAAGATTATGATTCAAGGATGCCATTAGTCCATTTGACAGATTTTAACGGAACAATAGACCAAGAAAAAATACCATTTTCTGATGATGATTTACGATCTATCCTTGAAAGCCAAGCAAACTTGTCAAAGAGTCAAAAAGCAAAGATACAAGCTTATTTAAATAAACAATTATCAACTACTCGAAGTGACTCTTCGAAAAATTCAACGAGCACAAAATCACCAAGCAGAATATACACGCTTGATAACAATGTATATTCTGACTATGCAAATAAAGATACACAATTGCAAGATAATGATTCGAATATAGTATTATCTGATTCCAAAGATTTTACTCGCACTACCGATAAAGAAGGAATATTCTTCTCCAATAATGATTTGCAATCATTCCTAGAAGGTCGAGTGAATTTGACAACGAGCCAAAAAGCGCAGATTGAAGCTTATTTAAATAAACAATCATCATCCAA